ACTCTCTCTCTCTCTCTGTCTCTCTCTTTCTCTCTCTCTCTCTCTATCTCTCTCTCTTGCTAGTGTCCTGCGAAATATATTGGCATCAAGTTGCAGGGATATGATAAAAAAATGGATTTCAAATTTTGAAAATAGTACATCTTGTAACACATTTTTTGACCATCAATTTTCAAGATTTTCATAGATCTGCACTATTTTTTAGGCTTTAGATTTTATAATTAGAGATGAAAATATATTTTAAGGCTATCACAAAGATTTCTAATATCGAAACCACATTTCTCGATACTATTTGAAGGTGTGCTTTAGTTTGATTGTTTAGAGCCTTGGCTCTTACAAACAACACCTTTTTTTAAATAAGGGTATATTAAGGTGCTCTCACTATATAGCATTTTAAACTTATACTCAACAAATTTTAGACACTTATATATACTTGTTTTGTACATGGATCATTATTTTAGTAAGGATATTTTTTGTCATTAAGAGAGGTGTGACATCATCCATATATGGAGTATACTAGTGACATTTAATCCTACATGTGGATGATGTAACGTCTTATGTGGATGATGTCACTCCCCTCATAATAACAAAAAATACCCTTATTAAAAATGATCTATATATAAAACAAAAGTATATAAATATCCAAATTTAATTAAGTACAATTCTAAATTACTCTTGTATGAGCACCCTAACATAATTCTTTAAATAAATCACAATTGTTTATAGGGTCCTCTGGTTGAAACATTCTATGCACTTCTTGGAAGAAAAGAGCTACTTGAGAGGAAATGTTTTCATTTGAAATTTTGGGATTTAATTTGAAATCATAATATGAGGAGACTCTAAATAAAAAATAAAAATAAATGTTTTTTAAATCACTTGGATACAGTTTTCCAAAATTTGTATCTCCATTTTTTTTTTTTCCTTTGACTGTTCAATGGGTCCCCTTGTAGCGTTCTTGGGAACCCCTTGCTTGCAGAACATGGAATCTCAAATATGGGGGTACCACCCAAGATCATGTACACCATTGACTAATTGCAAAATAGATCGATGAAACTATAAATTGAGTACATTAAATAAAGAGAAAAACCTAAAATTACATCACAATAGCACACGATTTACATCTTTCACCCTGTAGGGCTATTTCCACAGCCTTGGCAAACAAAAATCTACTATCATAATGAAGATTACAATTTTGAGTACAAGATATATACATCTATCCAAACATTGGTAAAAAAACCTCACCGATCTTCCCTTCTAAATCCGCTCTCCCGATTTACCTTTTGTACAAGGTGGTCACAATTAATCTTGACTATTGGATGTAAAATTGGGTGGCTACAATAATTGCATTAGCCAAGCTCAAAGTTTTACTAAAAAAAAAATAATCAAACTTTATGACACACCCATGCTACTAGATGACAAATCGGATGGCTAGAAATCCATGTTCCAATGATAAATGGTCTCATTGTATACAATCCCTTATAAATTTTAGGTACATGCAGAGAGCACATGAATTATGAATTTTTCTTTTCAGTTTGCTCAGTTGAAGCGGTGACATATCGAAAATTCGGGATCCTAAAAATACTCCTAAATAGAGTTTCACCTGAAATCAAAATATAGTGTACATGAATAATTGATTTCACCAAGGCAAAATCCAAAATACATCAAATGATCTTTATTTTCATTAACCGTCACATGCTTAACCGAAAAGAACATCAGCGAAGGGAGGAAGCATTCCATCAAATCTAGGGAAAACATATCATGCTACCATCTGGGTTTCAAACCATTCACAGGTAGCTCCCCAACCATTGAACTTTACAACAGATCGGGCGGTGACAAATCCCAATTGGCCAGGTAAAAGCGAGCGCTCTTTCGACTATGAAATCAATAGACCATTTAGTTTTTGGTACAAGGAGGTTATAATCATTTTGTTTTGCAGTTTATATCCAAATATTGTTACATCCTCAACCACCCAATTATAAATCTAACAATGAATAATAATAACGACCTCTTTAAATAAAAATGAAGAGTCTTATTGTATAAATTTCCTATTCTAATTTTATTTTCATCACATGAAAAGCAGTAAACCCCAAGACCCTAATAAGCAAAAATCTTTTTTTCCTTAGGTAGTTTACCCCAAAAATAAATACTTAGAATAAAATATTTAGATATGGGAAAAGTTTATATAGAGCCGGGGCTCTAAACAATCAAATTTGAGCCTACCTAAAACAATTACATTAGAAGAGGTCGTTTCGATGCCCAAATATCCTCAAATTGATCATCTCGATATCAAGATGCATGGACATGAGAAAAAAATGGATTTCAAGTTTTGGAAATAGTGTATTTTGTAACTCATTTTTAGACCATCAATTTTCAAGTTTGTCAAGTTTTCATAGATCTGTCGATATATATTATTTTGAAGCTTTAAACTCTATAAATAAAGATGAACATATATTTTAAGGCTATCACAAATATTTTCAATATTGAAACCACATTTCTCAACAACAACAACATTTGAAGGTAGGCTCTGATTTGATTGTGATTGTTTAGAGCCTAGGCTCTATACAAACCGCACCCTTTAGATATTGGCGTTGGCAGTCACACCGGTTGATTCCACAAAGTGTTTAACCTGGGACAAAAGATACCGGGCCTTTCTCGGGTCGAACAGCTCCACGGCGTGGGAACCGCCCTCCAAAAACCTGGCCACCACCACCACCCTTTCTCCTTCTAGAAACTCTGCAAAGCTCTTTTGGCGATCGCTGAGAGGGTCGCCCTCGTGCCCCCACACCATGCACCTCGGCAGCCGCCCCACCGCGGATGATGGCTTCATTGGATTGCAGAACTCGTGTTCTCGGTCGGCTCCCTTGGGCAGCGCCAGCTCCCACATAAGGTCATTTGATGCCAAGGGCACAATCGGATCATTGGCCAGTCGCAGCTCTGACTCCGTCCTCTCGGCACCTCCGAAGTAAGGCTGGTTCATTATGAGGCCCACCACCTTAGCCTGACCCAGATCCTCATTCAATGCGCGCAAGGCCACATGGTACACCATGTTGCCCCCTGCACTGCTGCCCATCAGAAAGCATCGGGAGAGATCGGCAAATTCCGCGAGCCAGGGATCGGCCTGGGCGGCCACGAACCGGAGGGCATCAAGGGCATCGTCGTAAGCAGCAGGGAGTGGGTGCTCGGGGGCTAGGCGGTAATTGACTGACACGACAATTGCAGGCACCTCCCGCGCCATGGTGGCGTTGAATGCATCGAATGGGGCAGTAGCCGCGCTGCATAAGATGAAGCCCCCACCATGCATGTATATTATTACCGGGAGCTTGAGGTCATGATGCTGTTCTGGTCGATGGGGGGCGAAGATTCGGATCCAGGTGGCTTGCGCAGGGTTGAGGGGCACATCCTTGGACAGGACGCCATCGCGGGGCTCTCCTCGGCCTTGGGCGTTGCAAATGGGTGGCACATCGGGCGTGGTGGTGGCGCGGGTGAGCGAGCCATCTTTGTTGGGGATGATGTTTAGGTGTTTGTAGGGGTCGATGCTCAAGCCTCTCTCCTCCTCCGCCATTCTGTTTACTTTGTGGAGCAGTACCTCTGGTTCTTAAACCATTTGGGACTTGGGAGTTATGGAGCCTGGCTGTTGGTTAGGAATTGAATATGGGCGCTGAACTTTGAGCCTACAGCCGTCATAAAGGCCATCCACTGACCTCTGCCTGGTTATCCCATCTAACTGGGACCACAACCACCACCTAAATGTGGGCTCTCATAATTTACTCGCAGGAAATTTGAGATCCAAACAAGGGTTTTGTGAATTTTAGTGGGGACGTTAGCATGGGATACCTAAAATCCTACCAATCGTAATAATATACCAAATATATCTGTGACCCTGGCTTCCTATTGTGTCAAAAGATTATATACATATCTATTTTTATGAAGAAGTATAATCATTTATCTTTGAAACCATACAATATAGTCACAATTATTCTTGGCCATTGGATGCGAAATTAGTTGGCTGTATTTATTCCATTGACGAAGCTCAAAGTTGATAATATATTTTCTCAACTTTTGCAACACACCCAAACTATTAGATTTCTCTTAAGTGTTACCATTATATAATACAGAGCAATGATCCAATGCAACGGTTGTATCATAGTATAATGCAATGACACTTCTAAGAAACCATGTTTGTGGTATTTGTATGACCCCAAATTTTGCACACACAATCTCTTCATCTCAATAATCAATCCCAAAAAAAAAAAAAAAAGTTCAATTTGAACTCTAGATATGATCAAAATGAGTCCCCTCCAAAAACGAATCTAGAGTGTGTATTTCAAAATTTGGATCAAACAAATGGCCATACAATGGTTTTTTAAGACTGTTGCATCATATTACTATAGAACGGTTGCATGAAATCATTGCCCTTATATACAATCTTATTTTTTATTATGTTAGAAGACTATGCACCCTTGGGAGCAGTTTTTTTGTGCACTCCTATAAAAACCCAAACTAGAAGCACTTTTAGGGCCCAAATTTTGGCTATGTAATCCATTTAACCTTATGACCAACCTCCCAAAGTAAAAGAGAACAAATAAAGATGCACTCTGTTTGAGAAAATAATATTACATAAATTAAACAGAAACTATCTAATTTTTGCACAGTCAGATTTAAGCTTTAGAAACTCAGAATCAATTTTCTTTTTTTTCTAAAAAATAATCATTTAACAATTCTCAAAGTAGATCCCAAAATGACTGATAAAATTCTCCTAAATAGCTCTTTTGCTTAAGGGAGTAGGGAGCATGCTATACAAGATCTTGGATTAGATGAGGCTTTGGACCAACAAATAGAAGACATGTGGGTATTGAGTGCGAACAAGGCTCTTAATATGAGGAATAGCTGTAAATCAAGGTGAGGAATCTCCCTTCTTTTCATTTGGACTTCAATTTTCTTGTCCTAGAAACCCAACCCCATTTTCAACTTGATTCTATCCTAAGCTAGATTTTGCTTGATCTAGGCAATGGAGGCACTAGGAGGGTTTGCCTGAACTCGGCATCCCTCTCCCTGTAGCATTTTTTTTCCCAAGTTACCCCATGTTCGATAATGCGAACACCAGACATGTGGAGTTTATACCATGCAAAGCAAAATATTTATCCAGTGTTTGAAATACTTGACAGTTATCTGCTATCCCCAAAACTAAGAAGCCCCCTCTCTCTCACTCTCCAAAACCGGAGGTCCACTCAATCAACTATGTTGCTGATCTTGTAAATACAAAAATGGCAACACAAAAGTGTGATGATCAACAAATTTTTCTGCCAAATTTCAACAAATTTCTCTCACAACGGGTTGAGTGAAGAGTTTGAAATCCGCTGGTCAATAAAACAAAGAAAATGGGGCAAAATTTTGATGACTTTTCAGGATTCCTAATCGTTTTTTGGCCAATTCCGGCCATTTTAGCTAAGCATAAAGCTGGAATTGGTTGATTTAACCGATATTTCTAGGTGATGTAGGTAAAATTTAGATGAAGTTTGAAGGTTTCCAGTCACCTTCCAGTGTATTTCTGGCCATAGTGTGAGATTGGGGGAAGGGGGGGGAGTTGGGGGGGGGGGGTTGTTGTCAATTTGCAAAATGGGATCATGTTTGTCCTAAATTACGAGCGGCATCGCTCTCCTTGTGGCGTTTTTTTTTCCAAGTTACCCCCATGTCCGGTAATGTGAACATCAGACATGTGGAGTTTATACCGTGCAAAGCAAAACATCTATCCAGTGTTTGAAATACCGGACAACTATCTGCTACCCCCAAAACTAGAAAGTCCCCCCCCCCTCTCTCTCTCTCTCTCTCTACCAAAATCGAAGGTCCATTCAATCAACTATGTTGCTGATCTTGTAGATACAAAAATGGCAACAAAAACGTGTGATGATCAACAATTTTTTTGCCAAATTTCGAGAAATTTCTCTCACAATGGGTTGAGTGAAGGGTTTGAAATCCGCTGGTCAATAAAACAGAGACAACGGTTAAATTTTTGATGAATTTTCAGGATTCCTAATCATTTTCTGGCAAATTCTAGACATTTTAGCTAAGCTGGAATCGATTGATTTAACCGATACTTCTAGGTGATGTAGGTAAAATTTAGATGAAGTTTGAAGGGCTCCAGTCACCGTTCGGTGTACTTCAGGCCATAGGGTGAGATTTTTTGGCCAAAATTAGGACAACATTGCAGCTTGGTCATCACTCTTCTTGTTGTTTTTCCCGGCGATTTAACTTTGAAATTTATTTTGGTTGTAGGGAAAAGTTTATATAGAGCCGAGGCTCTAAACAATCAAAATTGAGCCTACCTCAAAAATTTCACTAGAAGATGTTGTTTTGATGCCCAAATATCTTCAAATTGATCATCTCGATATCAAGATGCTTGGACATGAGAAAAAATTGGATTTCGAGTTTTGGAAATAGTGATTTTGTAACGTATTTTTTGACCATCAATTTTCAAGATTTTCAAATTTTCATAGATCTGTTGATCTACACTATTTTTGAAGCTTTAAACTTTATAAATAAATATAAAAATATATTTTAAAGCTATTACAAAGATTTTTGGGAGTGAAACCATATTTCTCGATACTATTTGAAAGTAGGCTCCAATTTGATTGTTTAGAGCCTAGGATCTATACAAACCACACCCTTTAGTTTTTACTTTGCAAACAACACGCTTAAGGTTTTCTTTTTTGGAGCATTATCTTTTTGCTTTGAGTTTGAAGCTTTAACTTTTTTAGAGATTGGAATGTGTTTGCTGGTGTGGTTTTTGGATTGGGCATTTTTTGTAGGTGAAATCCCTAGGTAGAGAATTAGGAAATTCGGGGGTGAAATCAGATCCTTGAAGTGGAAAATCGAGGTGATTTAGGAATTTCAACGTTGCCGAAGTTGCTGCATTGCAACTCAATCGATGGGTTCGATTCATTGTGAAAGGACCGAGGATTTAAGTATCGCTCTCTGCAGTGAACATGAAAAGCTTTGTTTATTCGGAGTTCAAATCCTATTCAATCAAGCTGTAAACCGTGGTTGAATTGCATAATTCTTTCCATGACCAGCGGATGAACAATGATACCAAGTGAACATTTAGGGTTTCTTTATTTCTATGAGGTGGACTTGTATTTGTAGAGAGAGAAAAAGATGGCGTTTAAACATTTACTGTTACTTTGTAAAAAGAGAGATAACGTTTCTTAGTTTTGAGGATAACCTATAGTTGTCTGTATCTCAAACATCATATAGTTATTTTGCTTTGCAACGTATAAATCTCACTTTTTTATATATTGGCATTACCAGGCAGGAGAAAGTTTGAAGAAAAAAAAATGCCCTGAGGTGAGGGGAGGGGGAGGGGGAGGGGGAGGATGAGGATGAGGGGAGCGAGTGCGGCCCTTAATTTAAGGCAAACATTATCCTATTTTATAATTGACCAAATATTGTCTCAATGTAAATTTCTCTACAAAAAACTTTAAACCCCACCCCACCCCACACACAAATATTTAATTATGGAAATGTTCATTTCACAATTATGAAGTGGACCCAAAATGCAGATTAAGTGAAGCTATGGACCAATGAAATGAAGACGTGGGTATTGAGTGCAACCAACACACTTAATGTGAGGACTAGCTGCCAAGCCCCAAAACTGTGATTGGCAAGATATTTCTATGCCGAGTGTTGACGTTTTACAACCAAACAAAAAAAACCAATAAATTATGGAAATTGTTTCATGTCGGCTGGACCACATTTCTACATTTGTAGTTCGAAAAGTGTAAATCATCAAATAGGTATTTCATCTAAAAACAAGGTAAATTAACAATTCAAATGATTTCTTACTAGAATTAATATTTTTAGTTTTTTAAATTTATTTATTTTTTTATATTCATGATTTCCATGTTAGATATTACATATCTTTAAAAATTAAGTCCTAAAATTCATCTCAAAAATAGATTTAGTAAGAAGCCTACATTCTTACATATCCAAGCTTAGCTGTATAAAACCGGGTCCATAAATTATTCCATAGACATATAATGCCCTTATATAGTAATGATGTAGTAAATCAAGCAACAAGATCATTGCACCTAAAAGCGAGATGGTGGTGGGAACATTGGTCAAATTCAGAACAAACAATGACTGCAAAAATTGACTTATCCCATTGGGCTCATAATCCAATGTAGAAAGTACAACCCAATAGCTATGGTATTTTGTATAAGAGAAAACTTGTAAAATATGGCAAAGGTTTCTATAGAGCTGAGGCTCTAAACCATCAAATTCGAGCCTACCTCAAAAATTTCACTAAAAAATGTTGTTTTGATGCTCAAATATCCTCATATTAATCATCTCTACATCAAGATGCATTACCATGAGAAAAAATTGGATTTCAAGTTTTGGAAATAGTGTATTTTGTAACGCATTTTTTGACCATCAATTTTCAAAATTTTCAAGTTTTCATAGATCTGGTGATCTCCACTATTTTTGAAGCTTTAAACTTTATAAATAAAGATGAAAATATATTTTAAGGCAATCATAAAGATTTCCAGTATTGAAAGCACATTTCTCGACACTATTTGATGGTAGGCTCTAATTTGTTTGTTTAGAGCTTGGGCTATGTACAAACCGCCCCAGTAAAATATTGATGACTTTGAAAAGGGTGTCGTTTGTATAGAGCCGATGCTTTAAACAATCAAATTAGAGCCCACATTCGAATAGTATTGAGAAATATAGTTTCAATATTGGAAAGTTTTG